AGTGACTCATCATCTTTTTTTTAAGTCCCCTTTAAACACCAGAAGGTAGCAATAAGGTCTCTCTGGAGCCTTCTCTTCTCCAGGCTGAACAATGCCAGCTCTCTCAGCCTTTCTTCATAGACGAGGTGTTCCAGCCCTCTGAGCAAATTGTGGCCTCCTGTGGACCCACTCCAGCAGCTCCATGTCTTTCTTATGAGGATTCCAGACCTGGATACATTATTCCAGATGGGGTCACAAGGGCAGAAGAGGAGAATCCCCTCCATTTCCCTGCTGGCCATGCTGCTCTGGATGCAGCCCAGGTGGGTTTTCTGGGCTGTGAGCGCACACTGACAGCTCATGTGCAGCTTTTCTCCCATGACAACTGCCAAGTTCTTCATATGGGACCACATCAAAAGCCTTACAGAAGTCTAGGTAGCTGACATCAGTCAGTCTTCCTTTGTCAGTCACTGCAGTCACTCCACCACAGAAGGGCACCAGGTTGGGCAGGCAGGATTTGCTCTTTAGTGAAGCCATGCTGGCATGTCTGGCATTACCTCCTTGTCTTGCATGTTTACACACTGTGTTGAGGAGGATCTGCTCCACAATCTTCCCAGGCACAAAGGGGAGGCTCACTAGTTTTAGTTCCCTGGGACTTCCTTTATCCTCCTTTCAAAAATAGGAAAAATATTTTCCTTTTTCCAATCACTGGGGGGTTTTCCTGACTGCCATGACTTTTCAAATATCATGGAGAGTGGCTTGACAACCAGATCAGTCAGTTCCCTCAGGATCCTGGTATGCATCTCATTAGGCCCCACAGACTTGTGCCTATTCAGTTTCCACAGGTAGTCTCAAAAGTTGGGAGGGACTTCTCCCCAGCCCCCATCTGAGCATGTTACCCAGCTAACACTAATCTTTTACAATTCAAATTTTTGAGAATTCTTAGGGAAATAAAGGATTTTCATGCTAGAAGATTGCTTCAAATTTATTTGACTTCATTCCGTCCTAAATATAAACACGGCAATTTCTGTGCTGCACAATGGGTTAAAAAATAAAAACGAAAAAGGAGCGTTATTTCAAGAGGAGATTTTAAAACCATGTAAATTTTTCTCTGCCTCTCTTTGCAAGATTCACATCTCTGTCCACTGAGAGGATGTTAGGACTACATTCAACAGTATGCTTGTGGTATATATGCACAGGGAACACCTGTAAAACCTTTAAATAAATTTGCTGGGGGACTAATAATAGACAGGGAAACACGAGACTATTTACCCTAAAGCTCATGTGGGTTTTGATTGCTGCTGCCTCTATATTGTTTCTGGAAGCCAAGATAGAATTTTTCATTTAAAGCTAACTCAGTTATATATATATATAGATATATATATATAAACATGTCAAACACACCGCACTTGTACAGGTACATCTCTTCCCTAAGGAATTACCCCCACAGACTGTGATGCAGACACACCTTCAGTGGTATGAGGCAGAAATTCCCCCAGAGAAATCTGTGGGCTTTCTTACATTACTGTGCAAGAGAAAGATGAGTAACATGAGGTGAATTAAAAAAAAACCAAAAATGGAACAAAATCACAACCTAAACCAGAACTTTAGATTAACAAATTTAGGAGGGAAAATATGTGCTAGTGGAATTGGGGCTGCTGTCTCTGAGAATACAGGCCCTAGCATCTTTCATCTGTCACTAAAAATTAACTTCATAAAAAATGATCTTAGGAGGGTGTGATCACACTGCAGTGCCTGGAGAGCTCTCAAAGGAAGCACATGCTCGACGGTGTGATCACAGTGAAATGGCAACGGTGTGATCTAAAAATAAATCGGTTCTTTCCTCTGAAGCTGGTTTCTCCCACAGATGCCCAAGCTAGAGCCTCCAATTACTGCTTTAAGGGCTAGGCAGAGAAATAAACAACTGCTTTAAGGGCTAGGCAGAGAAATAAACAATCTGTGGATGGCCTTTGTTTTCTATACATCGCATCTGCATGTCAGGAAGGTGATCTTGTTTCTGTGTGAGAAAGCATAAACAAATGATTTGATCATACGCTATGCATATGAGTAGACACCCACTCAAGTACTTTAATATAAAAGTCCCTTCTCAAATATCTAGCAACCCTTATTGTTCATTGTCCAAGACAAGACTGGACCACAACAAATCACAGTTCAGACCCAGGAGTGCTAAAAATTGAGCCTGTGAAGCTGTATCCAGCAGAGCATCATTTTGGGAGAAGTAAGTCCTTTTGACAAGACCATCATACAGTGGGCATAACTGCAAAATGACTGTCCTGAATCCAAGCAATCATCCATCACTGTCTGGGCTCAATAGCTGTGCCAGGTACACTGCAGGGCTCACAGCATTTCTGCATCCTCCTTCCCTAAGAGCAGACCTAAGAGCAAAGCAACCCATTTCCTCTGGTGCTCACTGAGCATCAATAGGCCACTGGGAAAACATTTCCCCTTCATTCAGCTGATGATGAGCCTGTAATACTAATTGTGAGGATGACTGTAATTTCATGCTGTGTATTCTATGTGCTGTTCTCATACAAAACACAGATCCCATCCTCTTACAAAAAAAAGCTGTTTGTTTGCTGTGAATTATAAGTCACTAGGTACATACATGAACAAACAAAATGGTTAACATCTTATTAACATTTCAGGTCCCCACTGAGCAAACAGAACGCCTTCTGGTAGCCTAAGCTTTACATGTCCTGAGGCACAGAAGAGTTTTTTGCCTTATATTCAGAAGAAAGAGTCCACAATCAAAATCATGGGTAGTTGTTGTTTTTTTTGTCTTGGTGGTTTTTTTTTTTTTTTTCTTTCAGGTTTCCTATTTTAACAGAACAAAAAGAATAAACTTTGCACCTTTGACTCAAAAAGTGCTACCAAGAAAACCAGTTACAACAATGTAGCTGCTTTCCTGCTTTCTCAACCCTTTTAGCAAGTCTGGACATGGCCATTCACCTAGACTCCCAAAGAATCTTGGTGCCTAATTTGAGAAGCAATTAATCCCTGAAGCAGATAGATTAGGTGATCTCTATGTGCATTCTCCTTTGTTGAGCTGGTTAGCAGCTGGATCTGAGAGAGTCCATCCCAAAGCCAAAGGGAAGTGACCTGCATCAGAAGTTACTGCAGTTACTGAACAGCAACATTTGAGAACATGCATTCCCTCCCACTTGTTTACACAGTGGTGGCTATTTTCCTTTAAAATCGAGAAAATTTGGGGTTTTGCCTAATATTCTTTTTAACATAAATACATATAGAGACCAGCAAACAAAGCTCTACATCTTTGCTTGAAAATCACCTCAAATCACTCGTCACACATCTTCCATCAAATACTACATTCAGTATGGATTGTTTACTAGCAAACAGATTTGGAATAGGCAAATGTTACAAAGAAACTATCCTAAACTCAGCTTTTCTGAGCTGCCATCAAGCACTCAAACTCATGGAAAAAAATATTTCAAAACCAAATACCTTTAAGGTGTCAGAATACTTCACAGTGGATAAGAACCTGAAAACAGGCCCAAAATAGAAGTCTCAAGTATCTTACACTGGGCAGAAAAAAAACCATAACACTTCCAGAGATAGCAAATTTGCTCTGTTTTTTTTTCCTTTTACCAATCAATTAATTCACTGACATGAACAAATATTATTTTAAGTTAGTGCCATACCAAAGACACTTGGTGACTTTATCCACCCTTGTTCCTCATCACAAACAGCTCCCTTTGCTCCCTGTAAGTGCAGAGCAGCTGTCCTGGAGCCCAGAGTGAGGCTGTCCCATACACACATGGCTGTGTAGCACATTGGCTCATCCTCACACTGCACCTCAGAAAGAATGGCTCTTCATGGCTGCAGAGACTGGGAGTGCTCTGGCATTAGAGTGCGTGGTACATCTCTGGGAAGCCAGGATAAAAGAGGTAAGCTGCAGGTCAGTTTACAACAGAGCTGTGGAAAGGCCTCCTAAGTATAGTGTAGAAGGGTAAATGCGTGTTTTTTTCCAAACAAGGGTACATGTGTGTTTGTTACTTTCCAAAGTAACAAACAAAGGTGTTTACAAAGTAATTTAAAGGTCTCTACCGGGAGACCTAAAGAAGCACACCATCTCCCTAAACTCCTATACTAATACCAGTCCTAGGGACTCCGTTCAAAGCTAACATTTCCTTCATCAAAGCTTTGAAACTCAGTTTCAAATCACCTGTTCCTCAACTTCCACCTGACCACCCACCCACAAGGAACACCCAGCGCACCAGGCACACCTACTGCCCTCCCACATTGCTTCCAGACCATTACCTCCTCCCTCTGGGACAGGTCCCTGGAGCCGCCACCTTGGCCTGCCTCACCCCTCAGACTCTCTGAGGGATGGGAGACCCGGTCCCCTTTCACAGACAGGTCTGGTGGCTCCGAGGCATGGCTCGGCCGGCCTCCCTCGCAGCTGCCCTCACGCAGCTGAAAGCAGCAGCGGGTGATGCGGGGCCGCGCCCTCCCCTCAGCCCCCGCTGGGCCCCGAGCAGGAGCGGGGGTGCTAGCCGGGGGCTGCGAGAGTCCCAGCGCCCAGACAGGCTTTTATTCCCGCGGGCCAGAGCTCCGTTTCTGCCCTCAATAGCCCGGCTGCGTGTGCCTGGCAGCCCGTGCTAACGGAGCGTGTGTGATCCCGGCGGGCTCACATCGCCCGCATCCCGTCACACCGGCGCCTCCCGGGCACCTGCCTGCTCCCCCCAGCCGCAACACCAGGAACAGCGCCTCAATGCCACCGGGGTTAACTGCGTGCCAAAGGTACGCATGTTCACCAAACTCAGGGAGCATCTTCTTCCCTCCTTTCTGAGAAATAAAATTCTGCAGTCATAAGGACTCTGGCCTCTCCTCTCCTCTATACTCTTTTAACTGAAAGGAAAGAAAAAAAGGTGGGAAATGAGAAATAGTTTAAAGCGCACAAACAGCACTGAAATGACTAATAGAGAATAGATATCCAGGTAGAGGGATCAGGAGACAGCCCAGAACACAGCGCCAACTCCTACCTTCTGCATGTGCCTGTGACAGGTGAGCACAAACGTTGGAGACACTCTGCACTCAAGCTCCAGAACCCACTTTCCAATCGTTCTTGTTGAAACAGTGGCACTTCAGTGCTCTTCTCCCCTGCTTCTGTTTGGTTACTAATCCTTACTGCACAGGAAAAGCAGAGTTGTATTTCATTTAACCCATTCAGTCTCTCAGTTTCTTCTCAAGAGTTTTCACTTTTGCTTTGGGAAACCAGCACCGTAAGCATGCACACAGGCACGCCTGCCTTGGAATTGTTTCTGGCTTCTGTAGTCTGTGTGTGAGCACACACATGAGCTCCAAACTGTGCCTAAAGCTGTTGCAGGGGTGGAGCCCTTTGTAACTGGTTTTATTTTAGCTGCAGGCATCATATCAAAAGAGAGAAAGCTATCCACAGATCCCTTCAGTATTAATTTTCAGTAAGTTCTCAACTCTGAAAAAAAACCAAAAAAAATTTTACATTTACTTTAAAACTACAGCCTGAATCACAGTTCACAAATAAGCTTTTGACAAAAGAAACTTTGAACTTAAATACAATTCACAGCTAGACTTGGGTCTAGGCAAAGTTAAGCAGACCCCCTAAAATCTGAAAATAACAGTAATTTGGATACAGACCTAAATTTAACCAAAGACAATGGCAGCACAGGTTTCTCTATTTTTTTCCTCTGACAAATGCCATAGAACTCAGAAACCCCCTGAAAACTTCTGTGAAGGAACAAATTAACAACATAAAAACTGTTAAAGGAAAAGAAATCTAGTTGGACACATTACAAGGGAAAACTTGTGGTTTTAATCATGTGGATACTAGAGAAAACATTGCATAATAACTTATGTGTTGCTCTTGTTTTATTTTGCAAACAGATAAATCTGCCCCCCCATTGATTTTGTCCCCTGCTTCATATAAAACAAATAAATCATGAAATATAGAGACCACAGATCTAGAAAAATATATTTTGGTCCAGCTTAACAGCTACCAGAATTTCAGCCCTATTTAATATTACGACCGAGGTTTCCTAGATTATGAGAATAGCTTTAAAGTTTTAAGTTTGAGTTGGTCTTTCATGTTTTGCCTTCCAGTTTTAGAGTCCTTTTTCATCGGTAGTTCATTTGTAACTATAAGAGAGAGAACATTGCTTTCCAAAGGAAAGATGAAGCTTCTACTTTCAGGTAACTCCACATGTTGGATCTTCCATGGAAGACATCAAGATGCGCAATGAAATCTCCAGAACTGGTATCACTACTGTCCTCTTGGCCATGCTGCTGCTTTAGATAATCAAAAATGACAGTATCCTTGCCAACTGCTGACAAGCCTAGATGTGCACAGCTCCAAATGGAAGTTTCTAGCAGACTCATAAATACATCAGATACAGAAGCAATTTTATTCCAGGGATATGGCTCTCTTACCCTGCTGTTCAGTCCCTGTCTAGCAGCTAGCCATGAAAGGTACACAGCACTCAAATCCTACCATTACTCATCCCACAGGGGACAGAGTTCAAATAAAAGTCACATCTTTTCCACAAGCAAAAGCAATCCTGTACTTTCCTGTCAAAGCTAACTCTGCCACAATAAACAAGGATGGTTTCCTAACAGGAAACTCAACACAAATTGGCAACACCTTCACCAAGCAAGCAGGGGAACCACAAGATATTGAGAGACACAATACACCCCAGAAGGACATCTAATGGTGGTGCAGGTGAATGGCTACCTATGTTATCCTTGTCAGGAGAAACAAAAATTGGACATTGTTAATGCCTAATTAACAATAGAGAAATTATTGTCCTGCCTCCTTAGATTCGAATTTTCTTTTAAGAAAAATAAATTTGGGCTTTGGGCCAAGCTGTGATCCCTCCTTTTGCATCAGAAAGTGGTTACACGAGCATGTGCTTTTTCTTTTTCCACTTGTACTCTCAATTAGCCACTGGCTAATGCCATCCTGCTAGGTGTCACCTTATATCCCAACCCTTCATGATATTTGGTCAAACCAAAAACTGAAGCCCTGGCTTTCTATGAATAAACCAAACTTTCAGATCAGTTTAAAGCTTTTAGCCCATTGGCAAGAAAAAGCTGGAAATCCAATCCCAAAGGTTCAAAAACTAGAAGGCAAGGCCCCCCCAGCTTCAGATGAATTTATAAATACCCAATCATTAAAATGCATCTCATAGCAGTGGGACCCTCAATTAATGTTTCTTTTTTAAATACCAAGCTTAATAATGTTCTTGTAGTTCTTGTGTTCTTGTTGATAAGCTACAAGGGAGTACAGAGACCGGGAAAATATGACTGCTCACACTGGAATCTAGCCAGGATACATCCAAAAAACAGCTGTGCCTACTGCATTAAAGCAGATACTGTGTAAACACATCTGGATTAATTTTAACCCCATGCAGACTTAATAGATGAGCTCCTGAGATGCTGAAATAAAAAGAGAACTGAGCAGACTTTTACCACAACTAAGCAACATGAAACATCACTTAAATTTCTTTTATTAAAAAAAAAAGGGAAGGAATAATCTGCTCATACTTCCTGGTTCCAGCAGTGATGTGACGAAATCAGAAGGTGTTAGTGTAGGATTTGAGATCGAGGCCAGTGCTTACCTAGAAAAAGACAATGCAAATATGAAGTAAACCTTTGCCCTGTGGTTTCACAGAAAGTTTTGCATATGTACCTTTCCTCTGGGAGAAAGGACATCATCCTTGTGTTGAAATTGTTTTCACCACTTGCCCTTTAGTGAACACAAGATAATTCACTGATTCAAGACCATTCCCATCTCTTGGTAAGACACTGATGGGTCACTGTGGAATGAACCCAGCAGGACCACAGGCATTTGCCTCTTGCCACTAGGTCTATCCCGTGGCTAATTGGGCATCTGGGTGTCCCAGATGAGGTCAAGAAGAAAGAGCCAAGATGAATGCATAGTGAATGGATACTGCTCAACACGATATCTCTTCTAGCCTGATCACTGCAGTGCTTTTGGCAAGAAGCAACCTCTACAGGAGCTGTGGCATTGGGATTTCAACAGTTACATGGCTAGAGGTCAACAGTAAAACTTCTGCTCTTTCTCTTTTGTTATACCTTTCATGGGGATAAACTACTAGGATTCCTTACTGCCAGAGGCTGTTTCCAAAGACTGTCTGAAGATATGCATGCTTTACTGGACAGGGCTCCAGTACAACTAGTTCTGGCTAACACAGCCCTGTGGCACTTAGCTGGTCACCAGATGCCCACCATGGTGCTCTATCACTCCTCAGCCTCAACACGACAGAGAGAGAAAAACTGGTGGAAAAACTTGTCAAACATGATAAATACAGGAAGATTACTCACTGGTTGCTATCATGGGCAAAACAGACTTGACTTCAGAGAAATTAGTTACTGAGAAATAAAACTAAACCACCCTGTTTCTTCCCCAGGGGGTACTTAACACCTAACTGTTCTACCTCCTGTCCTCTCCCACTGAGCAAAACCAAAAAATTCAAGCAAGACTCACAAAGCCTCCAAAAGAGAAGCTTGGGCATTCATGCAAGGAAGAGAAGAATCTGTGTTCTGCTTGGTTTCAGAATTTGAACCTCCCAGGAGACTACTGTGAGCAGGAAACCATGGCACATTTCAAACTGGTGTTCTTGGTTGCTCACTTTGCCATTTAGCCAAAGAGCAAGGATCTGGGGTGTTGTGATTATGGCTGGGTCACATTGTTAAAAAAATGGGATGTGTACCTTGCTTTGCTTTCAGAATAATGTCCAGTTTCTTAGATAAGAGCAATGGCCTAATCAAGGGAAATGGACAGCCATTACATTTAGCCGACTACTGGCATTTTACCCAGGGGATATGCTCAAATATTTCCTAGCACAGGACAATACTGAACAGTAATCTTACATCCTAGGCAAGTGTGTGTTGATGACTGAAGGAGAAGGTAAAGAAATAAGGGCCTCTGGGATGTCAAATCAAGCCCACTGCTACTGAGGACATCACAGCATATCTCTCCATCAGCTGCACAAGAATTTGAAAATTGTAGGCTTCAGCTTACTCTGAAAACAACCAGACTTTTGACACATTGATTTTTTAACTTATGATTTTTTTAAAGAAATGACAGTAAAGTAAGTTTTGATTCAACCTGAACTGAGTTTTTTTTCAAACTTGAACAGTGCACCAGTAACTGAATTCTTCCCAGACTCTTACCCACCTTTGCAAGATAGGCATGTCATTTAGTCCTCTGAATGACAGCTTCTCAGTATACAGAATGAATCCTGTCAACCCTTCAGGAAAAGTAGCTCAATTCCATGTTCAGAAGACATTACAAAGTCTTTAGAGGAAGAGTGGAAAGTGTATTACACACCAATGGGCTCTGCTGTACAAGTTAACTGCACCAAAGCCTGTTGTCCTCTTGCAGTATGGCTTGCACTGGTTTATCTCTGCTGTAGAGGCCTGGCCACACATGGACTCTTTCACGTGCTGAGGGCTGCTGCAGAGGAGCTGACCTGTACAACTTTTGTATAGATACAGCTACAAGCAGAGCTGATTTTATTGTGGTTTGCCAGCATGCAGCCACTGAGGTCAGCAACGAAAGAGAACAAAGAGGTATCAGCTTCATTCCTACCTAGTCTCCCTTTTTGGGCATTTTCACATAATGCAGCTCAGAACCTGGAAACCAATGCAGTCATCAATATTTTGCTGTAATCTGCTCCAGGAACAGAGCAACTCACAGGCACTTGGTCTGGCAGGATTCTCTTCTCTTAGTCCCTTCTTGACAACTGAGCCAATTGCCGTGCTGAGCTCTCCAAGAGAGCCTTCAAATAAATTTACTCTTTGTATTCAAAGAATTAGATACCTCTCTTCATCCATTTCCGAGATGAGTGAAATGGCAAGCTTGTCACTTCATATTTATTTTGATTCTCAACCAAATCAGGTGAGATTTTATTCAGGCCAGCTTTCTAAACAAGCTGATAGCGCTATAGCCAAGTTTCAGCTCTTCATCCTTAGGCTGTTTAAAGAAGAAAAGCAGCAGCATGTAATGATAATGTTGGTGTTCAAAAAGCAAAAAACATCTTCAAAGTGCTGTGACTAATTCCATGCAAAATTTGTTGTGAAAGGCACTCCAGTACACTGCAC